TCCTTGCCTCTCACTGCCCCCTGGTGCCTTTTTTTATTGTTGCGTTTGTACCCGCCATGTTCATATCTATGTTTTTTTTTTTTGACTGAGGGTATTGTTTGAATATATTTGACTTATGTTTCATCTGTTTAATTTTTTCTCCATTCAGGAATACACAACAGTCCAGGGATTACAGATGGAAAATAGCCCTTAGGCCAGAAGTAGCCTATTTAGTTTTTGTTCTGAAATCAATAATTTACACATTTTAAGACTTTATAGTGATAGCCACCAGCTATTATTGTGCACGACGACTGCTACCAAGCTACATAGGAACATTATGTGCCATTAGCAACACAAAACGAACACGACTTAAAAGTCAACCTAAAAGCAATAACATACATTTACCATTTATACCCTTAACGTTTGTGATGACATGTGTGTTGTGATGAACCTTGAGTTGAGGGGTGTTTGGAACAGGTTGTATGAAGCTAGCTCTATTTTACATTTTACTTTTGTCAGTAAATCCCTATAACCGTGGTGATTTTTGGAACAGAAGTAGAGACAAGTAAAATACAACAAGCTTTTATTTTTGGTTTAAAAACACAATAGAAGACGCAAATGAAACATTAAATGTTTAGGCATTGGACATAAAGTGACGCATCAGACCGTCCCTAACATCTCCGCCCTCTCCCTCTGCATCCTGTGCCACTGCTACCACAGGCTCAACTGTTGCTACAGGTGTGTCCCATTCCGTCACGTAGGTCTCTCCATGAGTTTCGCACAGATTGTGCAGAGTACAGCAAGTCAGCACCATTGACTTACATGTAACCAGCTCAATGTCCGAGTCACACCTTTTCAGAAGAGAGCGCCATCTTCCTTTGAGCCTGCCAAAAGCGTTTTCAACAACCACTCGCGCTCTGCTGAATCTTCTGTTAAATACTTGCTGTTCGACTGTCAGTCGCCCGGTGTCCTGAAAAGGTTTTAGGAGCCAGTTCTGCAGGGGGTAAGCATAGTCCCCTAGGAGGTAATAGCCAGCAGTCACCCCACCAACGTCTCTTGTGTGAGCTGGGAAGAGGTTTCCCCGGCTGGCTAACTCCCACAGGCTAGAGAGTCTTAAGACCCTGGCGTCATGTAAACTCCCTGGCAAACCGGCAAACACATTCCAGAACCCCTTTCCATCAACCACACCTTGGAGAATGATAGAATGCCACCCTTTACGATTGAAGTAGTCACAATGGTACTCCCGTGGTGCTATGATTGGTATGTGTGATCCATCAATAGCACCAACGCAGTGTGGGACCCCCCATCCGTTCTCATTGTAGGCAGCTATCTCTCTGAATTTCTCCTCGTTAGGACACCGGATCAGCTCTGGGACCAAGACCGTCTTTGCTGCAGCACAAAAGTCCTGCACACACCGGCACACCGTTGTTATGCTGACTCCAACAAGGTGACCAATGCTTCTGTACTCGGAGCCAGTAGCAAGCTTCCAGAGTGCGATAGCCACCCTCTTCTTCAGGGGCACACAGTCATGGAAACTAGTGTCTTGTCGCTCCATAATCGGCCGCAGTTCCAGGCACAGGAAATCCAACGTTTCTTCTGACATTCGGAAATTCTGCACCCACTGCGCGTTGCTGAATTTGGGGACTACAATGTCCCACCACTCGGAGGCTCAGTTGAATGCCCAGACCGATGGCTTACGGCGGCTACGCAAGACGAGAGCCATCTGAAAAACACATTGAGAATACAGTTTAATGCTTAATAGTGAAAACCAGCAGCCATTACTGTGCACAACGACTGCTACCAAGCTACATTACATAGCTACAAAGGAAAAGTAACTTACCCGCAGACGTCTTTTTGCAGCTCGTTTTGCGCACAGACTGTTTGTGCCATCCTTGGCTCCATCGTCCCGCTGCACGGCTTCAAAAAGCTTCCTGTACTTTGCAATTCTATTGCGTCTTGCCGCCTGGATTTTTCTCTGGCTCTTGATCTTGTGTATAAGTACAAGCCACAGAAAGAACAGAAGGTACGTCCCGGTGGTCTCCATTGTTTGTGATGGTGTATGCTGTTCTTCCCGCTTTTTGTGTGTGTGCGTCGCGCGCAAATGACGTCACTACACTTTTTGCATCCGTGGTATGACGAAGCCTGCCTACATTCCAGGAGGTGCTATTTCAATGGAAAACCAAGTGAACTCGGCTTTTGCGCGCCGAGTAGATGACACTGTGGAAAAACGGCATAATTTAACTGGATTCATGACCTCAGTATGGCCCTCTACCACTGTGGTAAAGAACAGAAACTTTTACTGTAGAAATGTTGAGAAATATTGAGTCAAAGTACCCCCTTTGGTCCAAAATACACAAAATTGTGCAAAAATTTCCATTTTTGATCCACTGTAACGTTTTACTGTAAAATGGTGTGCGACTAATTTCACTGGATTTATGACCTCACTATAGCCCTCTGCCACAGTGCTAACAAGCAGAAACTTTTACTGTAGAAATTTTGAGAAATATAACAAGGTGTGCGACAAATTACACTGTATTCATGACCTCATAACTGCCATTGACTGATTTTCTTGTGTGTGTGCTTTAATTCAAGAAATAAATACAAAGGAAAAAATGAAAGAATTTAAAGGACAACTCACCCTCAAATACACTTTGTGTATATATAATAGTGTTGTGTACATATCCTGGTCATAATTTTGTCACTTTAGTGCAAATTAGTTGAAAGATCAACTTTCTGCATAAAACCGTCAGTAAGGCGCTATCTGCTGGCGACCTGTATTTACTACATTTGAATTTTGAATCTGGCGCCAACATTGGCGCAGCAGTGATACCTGACGTCTGCAGTGAAGGCTGACGTCAGTTGCCCTGCCGCCCAGTGAGCGTGAACGGCCCAGTCTCGTTCACGCTCCCGTAGCGAGTTGGCGAAGGAATAGCAGAGAATTTTATCGATTGTCAGGTTTGCGATTAGTTATAGCATTTAGGTAGGTTTTTATTAGCATAGCTGTTTGTATTTGTGACGGCCCCCTCTGCTGGTCTTGTGGTGGCAGTGCTTGAATTGCATTCTGCTGAGATGAAGGGAGGCAGATGGGAAGTCACGTGTGACCTCCTGGATGCTTTTAAAGCGGATTCCTCTCACTCTGTCTCTCTCTCTCACCTGGCTTCTGGGCACCTGCCGGCGTGCCCGGCAGGTGCTTCACACCAGAACGTCCTGACGCGATCCGGAAGTACCGGAAGTAGCCGGCCGGCTCTAATGCTAACAGAGCTATGCTAGCGGCTTCTTGTGTACAGATCTTCTCAAATATGCAGCTTTGCAGCGTGTCTTTGCTCACAGACATTCCACGGGCTTTATACAACAGTAATATGTGTTCACGGAGGTGCGCCATATGTTTATTCATATTATTAAACGGTATTTCCGCATCGGCGAACACACTTGAAGCAGTTGCATAAGGTCACGGGAGCATGACAACGCATATTTTCACAAGCACAGAGTCCCCCATTGTCAACCCTGGTTTGAGTTCTGGTGAAGTCTGGTGTGGGTCCTGTTTTGGCTGTTTATGAGTATTTTCAGTGTGCTCGCTCAGTCCGCTAATGTCCCCGTGACCACTTTGCTGCTCTCTGATTGGTTGTTGCACGAACGTCGCAAGGAAAGGATGAGCAGAATCCATCTCCTGTGGGCGTTGATTTTTCGCTCCTGCTCCACCCTTTTCACTTTCCCGCCAAGTCCGTGCGTCATTATTGAACAGTCCGTTCGTGCGAACTGAGAGGTCCGTGCGTTGTGACGGTCAACGCGCGCCACCATAGACTTTGCATTGAAACCCGACGCAACGCATGATCCGGTCTGAAAGCACCATTAGCCCTCCAGGCTACGCCCATTTGGAGGAAGATTTGAACAGGAAATGTGAGTGACGTAAGCCTCGAGGAGCAGGGGTGAGAAGTTCTTTAACACAAGATAGATAGATGATAGATACTTTATTGATCCCCGTAGGAGAAATTCATGTGTCCAGTAGCAGCAGAAATCAAAATCAAAATTGATCATGGAGTAGCCACAGTAGCAGATGTGGCCTCTGGGTGGAGCAGGATGGGTCACATTAGTAGAGGTGGAGTAGCCGCTTGGTTCGGGCCATTTTCTCTGCTCTAGTCCAAAGTAAAATGCTAAATGCTTCAGTAGCATTTTTCAAAAAGTTAGCATTCCTCCAGTGGATTTTCACCTGATCCGCTTGGTTCGGACCATGAATCCTCTCTGCTCCTGTCTGGACCAGTGTAAAACCATGAACATTGTACTGCAGCAACATCTCAAGTAGAAAAAAGCAAGAAAAATTAAAATTGTAAAGCACAAAACAACAACTGTTTCAGAGCTACTTAAGACTTGAGCTCTACACGGCGACCAAAATGACCAGCCCAATCACACACTGAATCTCACTCAATATGGTATAAATAATTGTAATATTCAATTTGTAATTTTTTTGCAATATATAGACTTACAGAAACATGTCTATTTATAATAAAAATAAATAATAAAGATGCAAACACAATAAACAATACCCAAAACCATAAACTTATGGAGACGGTGGAATGGGTCGGGTCCTTGCCAGACCTCTGTCTGCTGCCAAATTAAACCACCTAATGCAGTGCTTAAAAACCTCCACGTCCGTGATTGTGCGGCAGAGATTATTCCTTTTTACAGCTTCTGGAAGAATAATAACAATACAAAGAGATTATTTAGTATAATACTTTCATACAATAGGCACATTTTACATGTGCACATGTAACATTTTGATGATAAGGATTACTTCCAATTAATACTGTGTCTTTAAACTGAATTAAATTATAGCTCACAAGCCATGAAATCATGGCTTATTGACACAATTTTGCTCCATTGAGGTTTGTGTTTAAAAAGCAATGAACTCAAACGTAGCGAGGACCCCCAGGCACACAGTATGTCAGTATTTGACAGTATTTGAACTCACCCAAAATGAGAGTCTTCAAGGCCATACTTTTGAATGGTATTTTGCCATGAACCCCTTACCAGCTGATTTTCTGGGCACAGCTGTCGTTGAAAATGCAGGCCAGGATATTCCACGTGACTTTTTTGTGGTCTTGCCCACCGATTGCTGAAAGCTTTTTGATCTGCAACATAAACAATCCGTTTTATTCTCTTAGGACAGCGACTTCTTGGGGTCATACAAGTTCCCCAGGCTCCTCGAGTTTGTTAAAACCGGTACAAGCCAGGCTTTGATAACCACTACCTTAATACTTTCTTCCATTTGTTTTTGGATGAATGATGTTTAAATGATTTCTTATTTTCATTATTGATTTACTCATTTTCAAACTTGACAATACTAAGACAATGTGAATTATTCAAACTAATTTTAATGGCTGCTACTACCCGTTTTTTTTTTTTATATTGATGCACTTTAACCAAGCACTTTAACTGACTGCCGTAAAGCATTGTATTGTTTGAATCAAATGTGTAACCAACCACTTGCTGCTTCAGTTCCATGTTGGTGCCTCTAATCCATGCCTCCATCCTTTCCACATCCTCTAATGTGTTGAGTGGAAATGTTACTGCCTCTGGGAAGTTCACTTCGAATTGTGATGGAGTTGCACACACTTTGCTTTGCAAATAATTCACTTTCAGCATTAATTGCTCTTGCTGGAGCTTTATCGCTTCAAGAAGGCCCAGTATTTGGATCTGTGTAGCTGAAAAACGAGGCAAAATGTGCTTTTAAATAATGAATCAATTACCAGATTAATAAAATCAAGCCACAAATATTACAATTTAATTGCAACTATTATTCTGTTTAATATTTATACCACCTTTTAAAAAGGTCAAATTCAAAGGGGAAGTAGGAGTGTGTTCTTTGGCCATTGCTTGTGTTGTTGGTGGTGGTGGTGGTGGTGGAATAAATGGAGCTTTTCTTTTCTCTTTTCTTGGCTCTGGCTCAGAGCTCTCTGAGCCACTGTCTCCATAAAAGTGACTGAGGATACATTTAACAGCATTAGTGTTTTACCAGTTACCAGTAAAACAATCAAGATGAAGAGATTCTTTATTTGTGCCACAGTGGGAACATTTTCGATTAATTCACAGATTAATTGCCATTGCTAGAGATTATTGTATAAAAATCACACTTTACTTACTTTGTTTTACGCTTCCTCTTTCTTGGTCCAGCATGCTCCTCGTCTGACTGAAGGTCAGATGTGGAGCAGGTCAGTGCCCTCTGCAAAGTTTGCCTGACTTCAAGGTACTGGTCTGCAAAACAAATTTTTTTTCTGATCTCATCACATAAACATAGTCCCAAAAACACCAAAAGCTGAAGAAAACATAAAATTGGCCATATCAGATCACTCCAATATTTTGTCCAAAACCGCTGTTGATTGTAATATCTTCTTGTAGGTCAGAAGTGTCTTTATGAAGCTTACCACATGTTTTCAGGATGCGTATATCAAATTTAAGCCAGTCGTCTCCGGGAAGCTCCTTTTTCCTGCATGCCCTATCGATGCGAGCATCATGTTGAAAAGGTGGCCAAAAGCACATGCCATCTTCAACCCACACCGATGGGGCAATAGAGAGAAGCTTGTTCTCAACAAATTCAATTAAATGATACATCACAAGACTGAAACAGAAAACATAACAATTACACATCTATCTATATGCAAAATCATCAAGCATTTATTTACTCACACTATTTACAACTTTGGATTTTTTTGACTAAGTAGTGAGGTAGTTTCCCCAGTCCCCCAAATCACACACAAACATTTAAAGCCGCTCACAACAGGTTCCATAATCTTGAATCTAGCAACTATCAACCAAGGAGTCAATCTCTGTTTTCACTTTCCGATTTCGAGGATAAAAAGCATCTGATTTGAAGTTATTAGGGACAAAGACAATATCAACATAAAAACATCTCGCCCCATGCACCCACCCCCCTCATACGCTATGTTTATAAGGTATGGCACAAGGGGAAAGCCACAAAATCATCCTTGTGGGGCAAAAGAACTACCTTATGGGTGAGCTCTTCTACTCGTGCGCACTTTACCAATTGCGATAGGTTAGATACTTTAAATATCTGCAAGAAGTCTGATTCAAAGGGATATGTAAAAAATGATGATTTTTGGGAATATTCTCTGTACATTACAAACAAACCCTCATCAAACTTTACAATGTTACAGATTTCACAAACATTTTCTCCAATTGCAAACACATTATCACCCAAAGAAATTTTCAACGTCCACTCCTCAGAAACCATTTCTCTGTACTGTTTATGCACATTAGAAATGTTTACCACAGGTCCAGCAAGATGTTCCTTTTTCAAAGTTATTTTTTCTTTTTTTTCCTCAGTAACATCCATCTCTGATAAACGACGAATGATTTGAGCAACTGGACAGTGGGGCTTTCGCAGCATTTTTTTCAATTTGTAAAGGTAGCTCTCGTAAGGAAATGAAGAAAATGAATCAAGAGCGCCATGTTTTTGAACATCATTAGGAAGATGTACTAACGAATGAATATTGTACACAAGTAGATCATTCCCATAAATGCGACCAAAGTACTGAACGAAAGATTTCAACAGAGTTTGGGCATAATTGGCATGACAAGAAAATGTTGGATTCACCAAAATAGCTATGCCACAAAAAAAAAGCAAACAATTATCATACATTGCTCTGTCCAAAAATGAGGAAAGCATGACAGGACCTGTGTAAAGAAGAAATAATCTGAATTCAGTAGCTTTCCATCTGTCTACGTCCCGAAGAGAACGCGGTTTTCTTGAGAATTCCACTGGAATGTAGGGCCGCATATCAATTAATTTTTGGGACATTATCTCAACAATATTGGCAGGGATTCGAAAGTTCAATGAACCTCGTAACCAAATGCTTAATAATCTCCTCATCACTCCCAAACACACCAGATGCATATAATCAAGAGGGAATCCAGTAACCATACCAATTTGGCAGCCTAGAAATGGGTTTGGCCCTTGACGGTGATGTATATCATCAACCATATCTTCAAATGAAGCATCCATTCTTAATGGAGAGTCAGTGTTTTCAAATGTCATCCGATTATTTACATATTTTCCAGGTTCAACACATTTGTCACAGCCATGATAGGCATTATGACCTTTAGTATTCTTTACAAATGATCGTGCAGGGGTGTCGCAAATCACTGCATCCAGCTTTAGTTTTAATGTCTTGTCTCCAAACTCAAAGCCATTCTCCAAGTATTTTAATTCTGTGACAAAATCCAAGAGATATTCATGAGGGGAGTTTGGTTTCTTGGGACCAGAAAACAGGGCCACAACTGCTGGTTCTTTCATAGGCACAGAAACAAGAAGAGCCAGAATATGCCACATTTGTATGCTAGAGCTTTTAAAAAGGGGAAGGCCGTCAATGTTAATGTGGAATTTTAGAGTAGTGTTGTTTGCCAAAGAGTTTATGCATTTGGAAAGAGTGTTTGTAAGAGAGTTTAATATACCAAAATAGTGGTATTGTCCACCAGCCTTGTCTACAACAACATAGTCTGTTCTTGTTTTCAAAAGGGTACGGGCATCTTTAGGTAGGCCAGAATGATACACTCTGAGAATGGCCAATAGTGCTGTCAAAGCAACCAGGGAAATTTTGAAATGTTTGGCCCAGTTTGTAACCCTATCCAGAAGGGAATCTTGGATATTTTCATTCTCTGATTCTGACTCAAAACTATAATTTGCTTCAACATAAAAATCATCACTATCATAAACAACATCATCCATCTCTCCTGGGGCCAAGTCCCCCACCTCTCCTGGGGCCAGGGGCCAAGTACCCCATCTCTCCCGAAGCCAAGTCCCTCATGTCTCCCGAGGCCAAATCCCTTTTTTGATCAGCAATATCCTTAAGTCTCCTTGCTACATTTATCAGGGCCCTCCGTCTTAACGCCGACTTGGAAACTGGCATTGTCTTTCTATTCATCTTCTGAAAATGATTAGAGCATAAGTTAGGGCATTGGTTACTCGATAAACTATAAAGAGGATATCTTCCCAGGGATTTTCAAAATATAGTGTCACAATATTATTTTATTGTTTTCAATATGACACCATAGTTGCAATACTGTAACTTTATAGCACTTTAATAAAACTAAAGAGTATTATTTTCTAAACTGACATTGAATATATTAATTAAAATATATATTAGACATTTAATATATCTAATTTAATATATATTGATTTTAGTGAAAGGTTAGCTTCCTTTGCTCAGTTTTCATTTCTCAGCTCTAACCAGCATTCAGGATTTTCTTGCTGAGAATTTTTGAACTGTTGTCAGTCTTAGAATTTGACCTATAAATGTACATGAGATCTGGAGGATTCTACATGTCAATGCGCGATCTTGAAATACATTAGGGGCGACAGTAGCTCAGTTGGTAGAGCATTGGCCTTTGAGCCTGAAGGTCGTGGGTTCGAGCCCACTGTAAGACCTACTTCACGACTCCCACTGATGACTGCTGTCGTTGTGTCCTTGGGCAAGACACTTAACCCCACTTTGCCTGAAGCTCCCACTGAAAGATCTCAGCTCCTGTGGACTCACCACCTGCAGGAGGATCAGTGAGGGGCTGGTGCTCTGTGTACTGGGTGGCATCTCTGGCCGCCCCCCCCCCCCCCCCCCCCCCCAACCCAGAAATGGATTAAGGGGAAGAAAATGGATGGATGAATGTACATGAGATCTGGAGGATTCTACATGTCAATGCGCGATCTTGAAATACATTAGTATGGTTAATGGTTGATAAGGGAAAAAGGAATTGCGTTTTAGTCTCACAGGTGCCACTAATATTGTCCCTTCCATCGTGCCCTGTCAAGTTTGAAAAAGGGATCATTGGGGACCAGTTATAAAAGAACTTCCCGAACAAGAATATTTTAGAAAAAGAATTGTCCAAATATGTAGAAACCTGCATCATAACAACAAGACAGAGTATAGAGGTGACTCCTCTTTTCTCACATTGTAATGGAGCTAACAGCACACAATGCTGGCCAGTTAATGCTGTTAATGACATTCCCACCTGATAAATCACTGGCACACAAATACACTGCACTAGTAAACATTCACAATGGCATAGCAATCACAGAACCCAGTTTTCAAGTTAGTCAGTTAATGAGCACACCTCTTAGATGATATGAACACCTAGTGACATGACTGACCCCTGCTGGACAAAGCTAATACAAACAACATTGAAGTTACTTACAGTTTATGTAGGGTCTCACAAGTTCTCTAGTTTACTGTACGGACGTCCTGTCACCTCTGCTAATACAAAAGAACAGAAAATTGTACATTTTGTGAAACCCTGTTCAGTGAAAAGTGCCAAATATATTTGTTACATGTAGTATCTGCCAGGGCTGGACTGGCCATCGGGCGTACCGGGCAATGCCCGAAGGGCCGATGCCCATATTTGGGCCGGTCTGTCTGCCACATAAACATGTTTGTGAAAAGTGTAAATTCGTTGAGAAATGTTTGAGGGGAGCGCGCGTGTCCGCGGGGCACCTGCTGTATGTACTTGAACGGGATTCCACCACCTCAGCGGCCGCAGTGTTCCCGCATCCAGCAGCTCTGAGCTGGACGCAGGAACTGCTCACCGGGAACCGCTCACAACACAACACAGCTGACACGGTGAGCGCGTAGCCGCAACGTGACCATGTACCCAAGACCATAAAAGCGCACAGGACCATGCATGTCTTTTCATAATTTGTGCATCCAATACATACACCGCTGCAGAAAACAGTCCGCGTCTCCCCTCTCCTCTAAATTAAAGTGATTGTCTGGAGTTTGTCAGAAAGAGAGACAGAGAGGTACTTGATTTGAAAAAAACGGCGTAAGCTCCCTCCCCCTTCCTTTCTGATTGGTCTACACCTACGTTTCCGTAACACTTTGAAATGTTAATCAGAGAACACATTATACATATACATTATTAATACACATGCACGGAGGTTTTCAGAATTATTTGTGAACGTTTTAATGAAAAAAATAATGTTTTTATGCACACAAAAAGCGATCGCGGCAAACCAGGAAGTGCTATTATCATGAATTGCACATTATAGGACATATCTGCAGAGGATCTGATTATGGATATAGGTTCAGAATATACATAAGTACCTCAGCGCGGATGTTCAGAATTCTTTGTTCAGTTTTCATGTTGTTCCAGAGCCTAATAGAGGCTCCGCGAAAACAAACTGCGCATGCGCGCAGCTGCGAGCATCAGCGCCGATGATTGACAGCCCTTGGCATACTCGATTGGTTAACCTCGACGGCACGTGGATTCTGAACTATACATAGTTCCCACAGACCAATGAATGTCACATGACCTCCTCGGAGACGCCATCTTTTATGGCACGCTGCTGTGTTTGTGCATTCCATTAAACAGAAGAATGAGAATAAATGTAGATATTCAAACGCAAATTGGAAAAAAAAGGGCAACTTTTGAGCAAATAATTGTATATTAATACAATGGCACCACAGTTTAACGTGCTACGGACATGTTTTACATATTTGATCAAATTATGCAGCAAAAATTAACAAGCAATG